GTCTTACATCCTGTAGATCCTGTGAACTCTGTTGTCTTACCACCTCTAGATCCTATAAACACTGCTGTCTCACTTCCTCAACATTCTGTAAACTGTGTTGTCTTACATGTACCACCTCTAGATTCTGTAAACTCTGTAATCTTATATCCTGAAGGTCCTGTAAACTCTGTTGTCTTACCTCCTCGAGATCCTGTAAACTCTGTTGTCGCTTCACACATCGTGCTTGTCGTCTATCCAGAACAGACTCCAACTCTTCTATCTAAAAGTAAGATTTTCTACTTGGTGTCTTATCTTCAGGATTTTTTTAAGTTCTTGCACTAGTAGATATGGAAGAAAAAGTTTTGTTATTTGTTTACTCAATTTTTTTTCTTGATTTAAGCTACTTTTTGTATCTAATCTATTATCTCTTAACTTTGGAGTTTGCAAAAATTTGCAATAAACCCCCCTTTCCGTTAATTTCCTGGGTGCGTGCTTGTGTCTGTATTCAGTGAGGAGAAAACCTGTTTTATACTCCCTCCTGCACCCCCTTATCTACTGTTCTACCTTAAAAGTTTCTTGATTTTGGAGTTTGTATTTGTAATAAACATTTTTACATTAGTTTGTGGGTTGTGTATTTGTTTTTGTAATCAGTAGTGGGACAGCCTGTTTTATATCCCCTCCCTCACCCCTTACCTCTTGTTCGTAGTTCTCCAGACTGACCAGACGTTGAGACAGGTCATCCTCTTTGTCCACGATCTCCTTCTCTCTGTCCAGCTGGGCTTGTTTCTTCTCTAGGTACGTCATATCCGCCTGGAGATTGTCCAGTTTTGTTTTCCAGTATTGTTCCACGGACGTCCCTCCCAACCTTCAAAAAAAATTAAAATGTAGAAAAAATTGGGGGAGGGGGGTCATCCATACAGGCTAGTAGATGTGACCTATCTAGTTGATCTATCTAGTTAAAGTTACATGAGATGAATTGTGGTAGAATGGTCAACCCAGCATGGGATGGTGCATGTATGTTTCAAGATCTTTAATAGCAGTTTCTTACATTGTGCTGTATCCATTCTTTATTTCGATGTTGTTTTCTTTGTCCCTTTCTACGTTATCTGTATTGTTAAGAAGGTCTTTGTACCTGGAAATCTGCAAATATCACGACATAGAACGTTAACTTTGGAAGGTGTTCATTGTTGTAAGAATTCTAATCGAACAAACGGTTAAATTTTCATGCACTTACTAATAATATACATGCAGTTGTGATCTCATTTTTAATATCGAAATCACGTGATACCTCTTGCTGGCACATCTGTCTAAACTGGAAGAGCTCCTTTCCAAGTTGCAGCATTTCCATTCGGAACATTTTGCGGCATTCTGCAAGAGCGTCATAATCCGAATGTTTCTGAAATAGTTTTTAGAAACGGGCGATGACATATAAAATATCTCCACATGCTTTTTCATTATAGGATGCTCGACTGATATAACTCTTTAAATGTCCAGGTTCTCTCTTTACAGTTAATAAAAAATATTTTTTTTAAAAAATATGAACTAATTATAAGAAATCAGAAAGCATCAAATACACTCTTTTCACTTGTCATAATAAATTAACATTGTCCTACCCTTTTCTTCTTTTTATGTGATCGATGTTTGGCTTTCTCAGTATGTTTGTTATTCCTATTAATGGCGATTTCTCCATTTGTAGTTGTCCCCTTGAAAAAGAGAGACCAACAAGCTAATTCAAAGAATTTGACAAGTGTATCTGACTTTCAAACTAAGGATTTATTATCGGAAGGGGTGGGGTGAGATGGCGGGGGATTGGTGGGGTTAAACCAGTAAATGAATGACTTTTTTATACACATGAATAAGAGATTGATTGATTGTATGTTGTTTAACGTCCATCTCGAGAATTTTTCACTCATATGGAAACAACACCATTGCAGGTGGAGAGCTGCAAATTTTGTCCTATACTCGGCAATCAGGGATGTTGAGCAATGCCAGCACCTACTGCGACACCGGACCTCGGTTTTACATTTCATCCGAAGGACCGGTCTCCACGTCCAACTGTGAGATTCGGACTCGCGATGTAAGGATTAACTCCTTACTTCGCGACTCTAGAGCAGATGATATGCACACGTGTATAACAAAGATTTCTTAGAGATACTGACTGTAACTGTAATGAAAAACTATACCATGTTAACTTGATAAGTTTATCTCCATACCTTTTGAATAATCTTTCAAGTGTCGAAAGCAATCAAAATCCGTAGCAACGGATTCGAGTTCGGGGGGGGGGGTAACTTTTGAGAATAATCTGACAAGCAAAATAAAAACAGTACTCGACCTTAGAGCTATAGAGCTACAAAAAGTGTTTAGGGCGGGGGTTTGGGTTAGCATGTTACGGAAAATTTATTGTTGTTATATTCGTAAAAAGTTGGGGGGGGGGGTGTTTACAATCAAAACATTTATTCATTTATGAAATCGCAAGCACACACCGAAAGAGGCAAAAAAAAAAAAAACAAGTCTAATAGTTAAAGCTCTAGATATGGACCGGTATATATTTATAATTTTGGAGGAATTGAAATACATGCATGTCGCTGTGAGAAGAAACAACTGATAACATTGAAGAAGTAAAGTTGTGTGGGGGCGTGGATATTTAAACTGGGCTAAAAACTATGTTAAGATGAAATGATTTTCTATTCAAATAACTCAGCCAATTTATGACCAGATAAAAGTATTTAACGGTTTTAAAAACGGACTAACACCCGTAATATTTTTTAACATGGTATGCTTTATTATAGATGGGTGAACTTTTAGCCTCGAGTCTTTATGTATAATTATCTGTATTGTTCTCGATCCCTTTAAACAACTTTCGCAATATTTAATTTCTATTTAATTCATAAACATTAATCTGGAATTCTTTTCACAACCTTTCATTGGCTGCTACCGTCTATGCATTTAATTTTTTTTTATTTTTGGAAAAAAAGCTCAAACAAGTCAAAATTAAATTTGGAAAATATTATTTTTTTTTTTTAAATTAAAATGCGGTTCATTTATCTGAGTCAACTCATGTAACAATATTTTGACCAAAGTCGATACTTACATTGCTCTCTGGGGACAGTTCCTGCTGTTTTTCCATTCTTATTCAGACGATGACATTAATATTCCCAAAAATCAAAATAAGTATTCCACAGCACAGTCCAAAACGTATGTCAACCACGGTGTTTAAAGGGTCGTGACATGCCAGCCTTACGAAGGTGTAACGGAATTGGAGCAATATTACCAGGTTTGATTTGAAGTAAAACTAAGAGCGCCGGTCAATAAAGCGGGTAATCAAAGAATAGCTTCCATGTCAATATCGTTGACCGCTACAACACACGGTACCATTAAAATGCATATCTAACCATGACGAACCCGGGACGAAGAACATTTGGGGTGGTTGATTGATCCACAGGGAAGATTTAGCAGTTTCTCCTGAATATTTTATTATGTCCCGATTTCCGAGCTGTTCTTCGTTTAAAACACTTACAGCAGTTAATTCGGGGAGGTTGGGTTTTGTTTACTTTACGGTTTTCGCTGAAGGAAGGGGTTCCAATTTACCACACGGGATTACTGGTCGAACATATTAAAGGTCGGGATTATTTCCAGGTTAATGTTATTTACACTTTTGAAAAGAAAGTCTTGTCCGTAATTAACTTGTATTTACGTTTGAAATAATTTGAAAAGCTTTTCATATAGGTTTAACAAGTGAATTTATTGATATACATACATATAGGAGGAAACCATTACGAGTAAGAGAAATATGTTAATATTTAAGAAGAAAATTATTTTCTTGAAATAATCAAATTCCTATTGTCCTCTACAAAAATTTGAATTTTTTAAATTAAAATTTGTATATGATAATTAGTTGTCATATATAAATTTTAATTTAAAAAATTCAAATTTTTGTAGAGGACACTATAAAGCAATTTTGCTTTATGTCTGATGCAATGATCCATTACCCACCCACCCCTCCAAATGATACATCACAATAAATGTGACCGACCCAGAGTTCTAAAATGTTTGGGGTAAGATTTAGAGATTATTTAGTTAACTTCCAACCCCAGAGCCCCACCCTAAAAAGGGGGGTATTCTCTATCTATCACAGAATGTAAACCGCATCATCTTACAAAAAAATAAAGAATAAATTAAAACTAATTCAGAATACTTTGAGGGAAAAAAACATATAGATGCATATTTTCCCCAGAATTTTAACAGATATTTCAGCAGCGTTATCAATTTTTACCTCCTTCCGCACTGCGTTATCTCTCTTAGAGGAGTTATCTCTCTTAGATAACTTTATTCCACCTTAAAATGCCATTGCTCTATTCGATTAGTTTTGCATGGCGTTGGATTTTTTTGTGTGTGAAATAATTGGTAATTGATAATAGAAGCATCCCGAACAATACTGGGGTTTATAAAATAAAACAATAGTAACTCTCTATGATTAAGCAACTGACATTCATCATCCCGGACGTATAAAGTTGATGTACGTGAATTTTATAGATTTTATTTCAATGAAAGCACAACGAACATGAAGAAAAACAAAGGTACATGAATTAAACAAATGCTAACGGAACATTCGTTGTCTTCAACAATCGATGACGTACTTTAAATAAAACGAAGCAAAATGTCAGATCACTTCACAACTTTGAAAATGACATGATATCAACCCACAATAATGAATATGGCATTAATTTGTGGGGAAAAAAATTGGCACAAAAAATGAAAGTTCTGCATCCGATGACTGCTTTCTTCCTTCTTCTACAACACGATTAGCTGAAGAATTGTAGCTCTATGGCTTTTACCAGGGTATGTATATTTGACTTTGACCATAGACTAACGCATTAAAAACCATAACGCTACAATTCTTCGGCTACAATATGATACATTGCATCGTCGCAAACCACGGCCAAAAAGTACGATCCTCTCCCATTCTGGAGAGAGCTATATGCGGACTCCGGACCGTGGCTTGAGACGATGGATACATCGTAACAACTTGCAGACAGGGGAATACATTTTTGTAAAACCTTTTTGACATCAATATGATTCAAAAATACCAATACTTATATGCATGTACAAACAGACTACCAAAATGGTTCAATGACTAGAGTCCAGTGTTTAAGTACAGCATATAAAATAATCGGACAATCCCGCTGAGTATGCAATAAATTAAAACCTTTTTTGACAAAAGGCACTCACAGTTACGCTTCTTTTGATCTTTAACAATAATAAGTTTGTAAAAAATAAATTAATCAAACTTGATGAGGTTTCTGTGGTATAAACTTCAATGCTATGAAATATAGCACCAAATAAACTGCAATGGAGGCTAAAATCACGAGACACGAGTCGGAGACAGTGCTGCCGTCTAGCGAGTAGAGATGCAGTGCTTGATTTCCGGTACTGATGCACTGACGAGTGTCATTCAGGTTACATGTAAAGTTCAGTCTAGATATCTCTGTCTGACACAATCCTTGGAAACCCCACTTTAGGTAGGATACTTTTGACACCCACTGTAGACCTGTGAAAACGAAAAATGAGACTATCACATTTATAGACAGAAAAACTGTGTTTGACTTCTCGGTTTTGTGTACGTGTATATTAGCAAGATAGTTCGAACAACGAAATTGACTTTATTAAGGTGTCTTTCACTACATTGTAAGTTATTTTTTAGGGCTTGGGGGAAGATTCTTGTTTAGCAAGGATGGATATTTGCCTCACTAATACATCGTCATTTAGTTAAAGTTTTGCAATTCCTAGAAGAGATATGTCCGTTTTGATTAAAAAGGAAAATATTTCCTTAATTGGTAGCGATCTTAATCATGAGATTCATCGGAACGCAAAATAGTACAAAATATACAATAATACGCATGTAAATATTACCAATTTTTGTATATAGATGAAATTGCAGCTCTCACCTTCAAATATATTTTCAAGATTTATGAAAAATCCAGCAGACATGAGGTACATTGAAAAGAATGTCTGCGCAACGAAACAAGACATCGTGAACGTTGGCGTTAGACTAGAGGACAGCATGGCCAGAGATCGGCTGCAATAGACCATCAAGTAATTCAAAGCGAACACTCTGAAAAACACCCACACGTCAAGCGAAAACCCCACCAAGAAGTACACGGGAATCGTATACGTCACAACAAAGAACGTGTGTAATGGAAATTCACTCAAAACCTGCAAGAAAATTAATTTTAATGTTCATGCAACTTTCAACATCGGGTTCTTTCAGACAGTATCTGTCAAGTGAGCTACAAGTGCTTTTCGCTCTTCGGAAAATGTGCACAATATTTTATAAACTTCTAAAAAATCGACTTTGTGTTTTAAAAAATCGACTTTGTGTTTTCCTAGATATTACTAAGAAGGATAATATTTTATACGCACCTTGGCAAAGTAATACGCTGTTGTACCGTAAAGTCCGTCTTGTAGTTCGTAGTACAAGTGTTTCCGTTCCTTATGATCTGTAACAAATGTTGGTTACACTGTAATTTGTTTTTGCACTAAACAGGGGCGTAGCAACCGGGGGGCCAGGGGGGGCCTGGCCCCCCCCCCCCCCCACTTTTTTTCCCATACATATACTATAGCAAATGTTAATTGAAAACCTGGTTGGCCCCCCCAGTTTTAGTGATGTACCGAAAATGAAGTATTAGAATTGGTACTGAAAGTAGTTGACACTGAGTGACACTCTACAACCCCCACGAAATAGGATTTTCGACTTTGGGCAACTTTCAACTTTTCCCGTTTTTTTTTTTTTTTTTTTTTTTTTTTTTTTGCTTGTCAACTTTTTCAGGTAGATTCTAAGTAAAAAAAAAATTTTTCCGGCTGGCCCCCCCACTTTCAAAAACGATGCTACGCCACTGCTAAAGATATATAACAAGCAAAATAAAATGCAGCGATAAATATAGATCTATTATATTATGCGACTATCACTGAGTACAATGAACAAAAGGCTTTTTAATATAGGGACTGTCAATGTGTGACAAACGTAACACATACAGACAGCGATGAGGTCTAATATGACGAGATACGGATACATGGCGCCTATGATGTACATGAGGCCAAACCAGTCCCTGATCGTGTTCTGTCCTTTCTCCAGATGAAGGTAGATCAGCCCTACCACCACCGACATAGACAGCGCCTGTATGAACTGGGCCAAGACAAGCATGTAGTCCTCGATCTGGTTACGTGTACAACGCCTAGAAAGACAGAGAGAGGGGGAATTCTAAAATATCTGTCTGTAAACCACACCCACACACCTTAAACAAGACTCAACCTCACTGGCATCAAGTCCATTACATACAGTCATGAGAATGTCATTACAAATTCATTTCACTTTAGAAGGACTGATAATAGGGAAACTTAAGCTCATAAGGTCAAGGCTGCTAGGTCAAGGGGAAAATAAACTTAAAACTACTGACCCAAACAGGACAGCGAACTGTCGGAATGGTCCCGGTGACCTGTCCACGATGTCCAGTGTCGACATGACGGGGAAACTGAGGTTAGAGAGTTCCTCTGGTTCCTGGGGAGTCTGGGAAACCGTACTCTCATAGTTACTGATTAACTTGTTCACAATCTGTTTCGTCTCCCTTTCCGTCTCTTCTGAGGTGGGGTCGACTGTTCCCAAATCAACTGAAACACAGTAAGTCGATCATGGTCAGTTTTAAAACATGTGAATTAAGAGGTAATATTTTTTCAGATTTCTTAATTTGCTTTAAAAGTTTGCAAATTTAAATTAAAAGCATCCAAAAGGTCAATTAAGAGGCCCATGGGCCACGATGTTCACCTACGTCACTTTGGCCTAGCTGTTCTTTATCGACATACCCTCTTTAATTTTGACTACATATTGTGGAACGAAATCTAGCCCCATGGACAGTGGAGCATATGATTTAGTCACTCATGATTGGGATGTTTCAATATCGATTCAATCGATATGTCATTAAATTTCACCAATTCTGACTTATCTTCCTTTAAAGAAAACTTGACCATTCATTTAATAAACTGAATTTCAATCACCTGAGGATACCCTGTACCAAAATAGATTAAAATTGGCTTAATGGTTCCGGAGAAGGAAATTAAACTGTGAAAAGTTAAGGACGATGGGGCTTCGGCTAAAATTAAATGAATTAAAATATGGAAAGGGCCGCAAATAACTATTTTATAGCACGAGATGAAAATATTGATTTATGTAAAAAGACTTGCATTTTGTTACATAATATATCCAAAAATTCCCGGGGATTTAGCATCAGATCTAATCAAAATGGCCGAGAAATCAGTCATGTTTTAATCTAAAACGGAAATGTACCAAATTAATGCTACATTGCCAAAAATTTCAACTCATTACCGCTACATTTTTACAGATTTTCGACCGATCATTTCCGCTGCATTTCTCCGGCCAAAAACAATTCATTACCGCTACATACTGAATCAACCCAAAACAACTCATTACCGCTACATATCGATTTAGCCAGGTATGGTTCGGTTTATGAGTTATAATCAACAAATTTCACTCACTATCTAATCAGAATGAGTATATTTATATGAATAACTCTGCAGTCGAAATTTAATTATTTAGAGTCATCTGAACATTATGGCCACAATTGAAAAGTTTGTTACAAATCGGAAATGCCGATTTACTTATCGATGGTTATAATTTAGAAAACATCAACATGTCAAGCAAATGGCTTTCAAGGTTTTACCGATAGTGTAAAAACATTCACAAAACTTAGAATTAGAATTTTATCTATGGACAGTGCTTGATTTTAATTTTTTTGTGTTTTATGAAATAAAATTTGATATTAATAATAAAAAAAACATCCTGCTCAAAGTCCTACTTTCATCTCCCCTTGGTAAGAAGGGGAAAATGGGTCTTATGCATTTATAGGTTGTACAGTACACGCACATGTGGCTGGCTAACGAAAGAGGCAATGTAGCGGTAATGTATACTTTTTTATGTAGCGGTATTGTAAGGTTTTTTGTAGCGGTAATGCATATGTAGCGGTAATGAAAATTTTGAAAATGTAGCATCAGTAATCATGGCCGAGATTCACTTAGTGTTTTAATCTCACAGACTGGATAACCCATTAAAAGCATGGCTATTAATAATGGATTCCTGCAATACATTTTAATTAACTCTATAGACACCAGGACGATTTGTACTAGTAAAGCCAAACTCTTTTTCTCACTTTAAATTTCACATAAAGTGCTGTTGTTTTGTCGACAAGTAAAGATCTTACATCATGTCAAAATTGTTTTATTTGTGTCCTTTTATGCATATCAGATCAAATTAATGAATTGTCTGGTGGAAAGGGGAATTGAATTCCATTGAATAACATCGAGTCATAAACGATAGCTTCAGGTTCACGGGAGTCCATTATCAATTATCTAGGGATGGATCCTTGGTTTGAACTCCGGCCGGGCACTTGTCAGTCCTCAGATACATATTGGAGCAAAGCTCGGGTGAAAAGAGCGTGTAGTTTAGGGGTTATTCTCTTTTTGTCTTCTCTCGTTTGTATAGTCGTTTCGAAAAATTTTCTTCGGGACTCTTTGTTGTGAATGCAAAAGGCAAATATTTGTCTGTTAAATTGCAACATTATTATAATTTTAGTTTTGTAATTCAGGGATTGGGGGTAAAAACATTCGTCTTTAATTAAATTTTATTACATGTTTGAGTGCATATACAACAATTAAAGTGTTGTATAATATCATTACCATGCCGTCGAGACACCTGGGCCTATGAAGGACTGTTGCCAACACAACCGATTCAAAACTATAAGTGATAAATTAAGGGTATCGACAGACTTTTCACTTTAGAATTAATTACCAGTCCCTCCTTGGAGTATATACATGTAGTCTGGGAAAAGTCGTGCACATATATCGATTGCGTCACAATTCAATATCTTGTATCCGAAGAAACGATGAAATCGAATTAGCAAGGCTTGACCTCATAATGCGAGGATCGTTACAACTTAAGCTGATAAAAGTGTCTCATTCTGTATTGGGAATAAGCTCTACGGGTTCCTCAAATTTAAAGAGCTTTGGGTAGGAAAGAGACAAGGACAGACAGCTCACGACGCAGGTTTTTATTTCAATAATTAGAAATTTTCTGCACCTTAGAGAACATTGAAAGCTTGTTCTTGAAAACGTTTTTTGCTTATCTCATGAAAAGCTTCTGTTTCACAGAGGTTCTCTCCGCAGAAACATGAGCAAGCATGTATCCGCAAAATTAGTTGTGAAGGGACGAAAATGTGAGTTTTCAGTGGTTAAGAGTAATTAGAAATGGTAGCGCATTCCATCGTCTGAAATACGATCACTTTTGTTTGCTACTTTCTTATCAACAATATTTCGAACATGTACAGGTTTAATTGACATTTTGTACTTTTATGAATAAGTTTTCACATGCTTTCATCATTCCCTTCATATCTAATGTTCTAGCAACCGTCTTCTTTGCCAAATAGGTGTTGCTTACGTCATTTTGTCGATTTCCAGCAACGCCACAAATTCCAGACTAATTTTAGGAATGTGGTTCTTTTTAATTGAGTTTCTGCACTATCTATTCTCAATAGCAGAAAAGTGTTATAGACAACAAAATAGAATATTAATGCCTCCATATGTCCTCACCTATCATTGATTTGTGAGCGGGTTTTAAGGGGGGGGGGGGCTTACCATAATAGTCACAGGGATTGGTCAGTTGGGGACAAGGATGACCAATGGAAGTGAAGTATGGAACCATGTCCGCCGCCTTCCCGAAATACACCATTCTCCCACGTGACAGGATCATCACCAAGTCGAACAGTTCAAAGATGTCAGACCTGAAAGAGTGAAATAGAGTTCACTATTACTGAATCAATCGATAGTTGTCAACTTATCACTCTCAGATCGTCCATCACTTGTTAGTTTTCAGCTTTTTCTGATATATGGCGTGAGAATTGGGATGAGGATGGGGGGAAATTGGTGTACCGATACTTGGCAGGTTGTTCGTCAAGAGGGGACAGGGGGTTTAAATTTACCTCGGCTGATGGATTGACATCAGGACTGTTCTCGTGTTTTGGGCCATCTTCGATAAAGTCTCCACCAAACTGTGGGCCGTGAACGAATCGAGACCAGAGGTCGGCTCATCCAGAAAAAGGATACCTTGGAAAATAGAAATATTATCAAAACCAGGACATTATCACTGTAGGTCATGTCTGTCCTTTTCATTATAATATTTTTCCCAATTTTACACAAGTAAAAATAATAATTGATACACTTATTAGTACATATATATCAGATATTTTTAAGAGAACGTTTAGTTAGTACACTCGTGACTGTGTAATTGTATTCACTTCATTAGCAATACAATGCCGGTATAGATGTATATAATTTTATTACCCATGATTATTATTTTCTCATCTCAGGTTGCAGTTTTCTTATTCAATACTTGATGATTGTTTTTTTTTATTCCATATAACGTACTACAATGTTTTCTCTGGTACCAAGAGTACTGTTAGTAATTTAGCAGTGCACAATTTCTTTCATCAAAATTTGCCATCTTCTCGTATAAACTGTCGAACAATCGCCAACGCGGTGCAGTGGTTAGGTGGTTAGAACGACTGCTTTAGTATCGCGAAGTAAGGAATTGATCCTTATGTCGCGGGTTCGAATCCCACTTTTGGACGTGGAGACCGGTCCTTCGAATGAGACCCTCTAAATCGAGGTTCCATGTCGCAGTAAGTACTGGCACGAAAAAGACCCCTCACTGCTCAATGAACGTAAGTGCCGAGTAAAGGTCAAAGAAGATGGGTGGGGGGGGGGGGGGGGGGGATAAGGCGGACGAAGTGCCTATAATGCGACAGATAAGAAGTGGAAAATTTATTCTCAATTATATCCAAATTTTATTTGATATTTCATCTAATATTAAAGTATACTTAATGTAAAATCTCTAAAATTTACAAAAATCTCACAAAGACTGAAAATATTAGCCCATGAAAAAGCATACACACACTAAAAAGAACAAAACGATCATTTTCTCATACTTCAACAAATTTTTTCAATATGAGTGGGTCTTCTCTCCATTTTTTTGAAAGATAATCCTAAAAGTTTGCAATAAAAAATACATTTTTTTTTGGTTTACAGAAAAATGGAGCGGAGACCCACTATACCTTTAAAGTATACTTTTATGACAAAACATTCACATATTTCCGAAAAATACTTCAAGTCCAATAATTCAAGGGTCATATCACAAACATAAATTAAATGCCCAGTCTTCACGAGACATATAGCACAGTGGTTAGCGCGTTAGTCTCAAGGCAGTATGATAGTCATACGTCGGATTTTTATTGATTAGGGGGTTCGAATTCCATAAATACCATCTAATATTTTTATGAAAGAAAAAAAAATTACGAGATTTTTTTTCTCTCAGAAAAAGTTTTTTTCTCATAATTTCATGAATTTCATTAATGAGAAGTTAATTTTAATACTCAATTAATATATTGATTGTGATCTCTTAATATCCGACGCCATGGGCATTCTGCCCGCCTTGTTTCCCCATCTTCTTTGCAGCTCTCCACCGGTAAGTGGTGGCGTCTCCATTTCTCGAGATGGACGTTAAACAACATACAATCAATATAACAAATGAAATCTTTTAAAAGGTTAGTTTTAGTGTCTTACTCGGATCTAAAAGCATTTGTATTCCGATGCTGACTCTCCGCCTTTCCCCTCCGGAAACACCTCGGCTTTCTTCGTTTCCGATCTTTGTATCCCACACATGCCTTAGACCAAGTTCTGAGATTACCCCATCCACCTATTTTGGTAAAAGGGTGGTCGAATAATTAATGATTAACTAAAAAAATTATTTGTATAACTTTTTTTAAAAATTCCTCATATCCATCCATAAGCGTCTCCGCCAGAAAAAGAAATATATTCTGGATCATTCCATTTGCCCACGATGTTAATTAATTATTTGTCATTATTTTCATAGATATGTATTTCAAATGCATATTATTATAGCTCATTAAAAAGAGTTTCCTTTATAAACATTGAGTCATATTATCTGCAGATATTAAATACATGAAATTATTAATGCGTACATGTGTAAAGCAAATAAAGTCGCTTATCCTATACATACACGTATGTCTTATCAATTTTTAGTTTGCACTTGTCAAATCAATTTCATAACAATTTTATCGATAAAGAATTTTATAAATAAAAACTTTTAAAATATAAACATATTCTATAGATAAAGTGTTATTTATAGCAAAATAACGAAAGACCGTTCGAGTGAACTTTAAACATTTTTTCTGATATATATTTATGCTTTTATTTGCGAAAATCGATTAATGCAAGTTGCTGAGAAACGCAGCTGCAAGATAGAATTTTAAGAAAAGAAAAAAGGATTCAACGTCCAAACAACACATGAGCATACACTGGGAAATCCTGCGCTTTACGTCCTTAGACGGACGTCTGTCACTATTGATAGTCCCCGAAGGACAATGACCATCTATATTTAATGGAGAACCAATCAAGTGCAATTTAGATCCTGTTGGTACATTCTTGAGTTGTTCTAAATTATAGATGAATATATATGATGCTTGTCGATACAGACTATTTAATATTGATAATGCGTGTATTCTACATATACATTGTAGATCTATAGACAATTGGCCATTCTTTCTAAAATACACTTATTTCTACCTTTGATTAGCTTTTAAAACGACCTGTTATGTAGAAATAAATCATTAATAGATGATGATTTTTATAAATGATGAATAAATGTTTAAAGAACTATATGGTATTGGTTAGAGACTTTGCCCCTTAGTAAGAGATCGGCTAAATAATTTTTTGCTTTACATCCGGTTTCCTATTTTTACCCTGTGCTCGATGTCCTCCTTGGAGACGGATGCCGGAAGTTTCAGCTGTGCGACAAACATAAGCGTTTCTTTGACCGTGAGGTGAGCCAGCAGACGATCGTCCTGTCTGACGTAAGCGGAACATGACCGCACCATTTGGCGCGTCCACGGCACGCCATTCAGAAACATCTCCCCCTCCACGCTTCCGCCATCGTTCCGGCCTGCCAGAACGTCCAAGAGGCTTGTCTTTCCGCTTCCTGGAATGTGAATGAGAAGTTGTGAATGAAACAAATGCATGACACATTGTATACTTGAGAATTTCAAAAAATGAAAAGTAGTGTTTTTCAGTTTTTTTCGAGAAAAAAAATCAAATTCAACTTCCTGCATTGCATTCCACTTTTTATCGACTTGCTAGATTCCGAATGTACATATACCGGTATGTATACATTGAGAAAGGTTATGTTTTACAAATATATAGATTACTGTTTTCAAGATGCTTTTGATTTTTTGGAGCACATCATCTAAATAAACATTTTTTTTTTAAAGCCCATCCACACCTTTAAAACCAATTATGGAATCGGCTCATACGGTCTGCATGAAATATTCGTAAGTTGTTTATCATATTAAGCTTGTTCAAAACCCTCAACACAGTCTGCAGAAGCAAATTAAACCAATCTAATTATTGAACAATAAGTATATACTACGACTGTCACCAAGAGCGGAAGTTTACTAGCTCGTTAATAAACTAACAGGACCATCTAATGGGAGAGGACTATCTAAGTTTTTGGAGCATGTGTCCAATCCCTTTGACATGTTGTCAATAAAAACATGTTCAAAATAAACTAAGGTGCTTGTAATCGCAAAACTTGGCAGATTACTAGTAATATGATTATTATGTTTTCCGTAAAAATAGATCCATTCGTCTGTAAGTCTCTAGTTCTGTCCGTCCGTCACAAAAACTTTAATCTTGATCATATCTTTTGAATGAGAAAAAATAGGGCTTTCATATTACACGTGTATATTACCTGTGACAAGACCTTTCTAAATACGCTATGATATTTGACCTCGTGACCTTGACCTTGAAGTTTGACCTCCTTTTCAAAAATGCTAATTTTTCCCTCTAACTTTTGTTTTAAAAGAGATAGGGCTTTTTGTAGTTGCATCCAAAACTTTTAACAAAATCACATGAATCGCTTCTTGTGGATATGTCTCAATAGAATTGAAACTATCAGTTTCTCTATTTATATTTCAGAAAAGTTTTGATTTTTTTTTACGCAAGATTGTTTGTCATAGTCAAATGGTCAAATTGTATTCACTCGTTAATAAGAAGCTGATCTGTACAAAACAAAAATTATCTGCACCTAGGGCAAGCTGACCCTCTTTTCAAAATTAGTCGTGAGTGCAATTTTCAGATTCTGTTCCCGTCAAAATCAAGTGATAAGTAGCATCATTAACAGCTGATAAATGAAGATGTGTTTTTGAAACACGGATGCCTCTGTATGGCAGCTCAAAGTCCAAGGTCAAATGGTCAAAATAAATGGTATCAAAGGAAAAAGCTTAGTTTGCCATAAGAAATACAGAATGAATGTTAAAAAAAATGTAAGGTCCATAACACCCTCTGTTCAAAAGTTCATGCCAAGTGTCAAGTTTTTCTAACGTAGGTCAAGATCAAGGTCGAAATTCTCGGTATCAAAAGGATACGTTGGCCAAACTCCAAGATCAAAGTATTTAAAGGAAGTTCTTGTCACAAGAAATATATAGTTCCAAAATTATGACACTTTTTTAAGTGGGTCAAACTCAGAGGTCAAGGTCAAAAGATCAAATATTATATTTAAACCAATGGAAAAGATATACATTGAATATATACATGTGATTTATGACAGCCCAAACATCAATTGTTTTAGCTTTGACCAAGGTTAAAGTTCGGCGAATTTTTTTTTTTACAAAAGTGGGCCAAACTCCAAGGTCAAGAGGCTAAATATCTAACTTCAAAAAGAAAGGTCGTGTCACATATGTATGTAAAGAATCAAAGGTTATGAACAAGATTAAAGTTTTTGTGGATAAACAGGGTAAAAACTATACCCCCAAATCTTTTATTATGGGGCATAAAAACAGAATTGCAACTTCGAATAAAAATTCATCTTGAAAACAGGGTTTATCAAACGCAATCAAATGATTGTTCTCAAACATTTTTTAATATCGGAAATTGTGATGTCTGACACCTATAATGTAACCTTCATAAATATTCGTGGCTACGAAAACTTCAACAGATCTTTGGATTTCAAATGTCTTCCTTAAATCAATATCTTATTTTCCTTCAAGTTATTCCATTATTCCTACGCACGCAACTAAACTGTGCTATAAATTATATCAAAACTCGTATATATTCAACAAGACTTAATATGCTCTAAATAGCCTATATCCCTTGATATCTTCCTGTATTTCATTCTAAAAATCGCATTTGATAAAGGTAATACAAACTTTATATAATCTGAATAGCCTATATCCCTTGATATCTTCATGAATATATGGGATGTATTAGAAATTTCTTTTAAATAAATATGCAATTTATTTTATGAAATTATTAACAGTGCATATCACCCTCAGAGACATATAATTTATTTTATGAAGTACATGTGTTGTCAATTTCAAAACAAAAGTGTTCACTCAATTTACGTGTTTACATTTTTACATTGTAACCAAAGGATAACTAATCGAATACTCTGATTTTGATAAAGAACAATATTCGATGGTGGATAGACATGCCCTGTTTGAGACTGAGAGACCCTTGAATGTGTACGTATAGTTATATATCATGACTTTATAATTACAGAATAATATTATTTCTTAAATAAAACGATGTGGTATATTGAGAGATTCTGTTAAAAACCTCACCGGAAGTTCCAAGAATAGCCAAAATATGGCCGCTCTTGACGGAGAAGGTGACGTTTTGTAGCACTTGTTGGGGCACAGCGTCATCACTCCATTCCCATGGTAACTGTAGCGCGCCCAGACGCTGTAGTATGGACATTTTCTTGGGGTTGACGATGTAGCTGACATTGCGGGCATTGATATCTACGGAAAGGCGCTCGTTGAAGCCGAAGTCTATGGCGTGTGCATGCGGGCTGCCGAGTTGATGCTCCCCTCGGGAGTTCTGCGTCATATCCATAGCTTCGTTAGGACGATAATAAACAGAAGGGTATGCCCGAGATTGCGACCTCATTCTGATATCTGTACCCTTATCTCGCGGACTGGTAGTAAACACTGTCTGGTCAGGTACAGATGTACTTGATTATCTCAACAACTGAAATTGAAGAAGTCAACAACCTCCCATGAAAGTGTCAAAAAGTGAGTACATTAACAACATCCTTGAATGTGTTACGTTAAAAGTTTAAATCTAAAGTTTTAACTTATCTACAACTATCTAGAATACAGTATAGTTATAGGAAATTTTAAACTTTGATTTAAACTTTTTTAATGTAACAAACGTTTTGCTGCTGTTAACATGTGTATTCATAATCCTAGAAACAACAGAATTTATCTTTAAATTGAGATTTACACATACACTTGTTAAGTTTCGTTTTACGTAAGTGTCTAAATGAAAATAGATGAAGTGAAATATATACCTGTAAGCATTCGCATCTCACGAGGTAAGAATGGTATTTAGCAGTCTAATATAGACAAATAGTAAGACTAAGCTAGCTCATTGTCCCAACATGAACCAAACGTAAATATTGAAAATGCTACAGCAATATATATAAACTCAGGCTATTGTCCATTGATTGTAGTTTTAGACTAAATGTTTTTATCTAAAATGCTTAATGATACAAGGAAAAGCGGAAAACAAACGTCCTTCCTGCTTTTTATAAAAACAAGGAACGTTACATTTATAAGCAGACAGAATGAATCGAGACCGGCATAAGAGAATGTGAGACCTACCTCATGTCTGAAAGTCCTTTCACGGCTTATAGCAGAGAGTTACAGTGCCCGAGTCTAGTAAAGCGATCGATGACAATACGTCATTCTAAGTATTTGTAGTCTCTATATCATTGGAAAGGAGACTTAATCCACCGACCAGAATTCAAACATGTCGTGTTAGCCTTATGTATTTGAAATATTTGTAATCTATCGAGAATCGATTTTTTTTTCAGCAAAAATTTGGTTTTGTAATCCTAGCTTCAAAAACCCAGACTGCTAACACTTTTGGAACTGGTCCGGAGTTTTTTGCTGTTATAAAAAAGAAATCAATAGGCGATTTTCTGCGCTAAACCATGTGATTCATACCAAAAGCATATTTGTGTGTTATCTTGGTTTCTGAGATTAAAAGTCTTGGAGGAGCAGGAAGGAGGAGGTATCGATCGAGTTCTGGGTCGTAACAAGGAGGGTATATCATCGCTTGTCTCGTCAGTCGTGTCATCTACCAAGCTGCAGGTAAAAGGAACTGATCAATATCTTATGTAAACTACTTATAATCTTAGCTCTTTTTGTGTAGACAAGTTTTAAACCATGTTTTGCGTATTCTTATATTGTTTCCTTTATTGCATTTCCCACGTGTTAGTGTGTATCGAGTTTTATGTTGACCAGACACGATGCAGTGTTTGCATTGCTATTGCCCTTGTATCATAATGACAGGTGACATTGGGATTATTTTTATCTTTGTTTTCTTTATCTGATTTTATTGACCATTGTGTATTTACCCGTCTAACTGTCACATTATCATTTAGCTTTATCGTTCTACGCGGCTTAAGGCATCACACTCATCCGTGTATTGATTTCTGGGAAGGTTTTCCTGTGTGTGACTTCCGGTGCTAAGCTTCAGCACATTAGTAAGTAGACGATTCCATCGCGCCATTGACAAAATTCTGACTAAGATTATTTCTTATCGATTGAAAATGTTATTAGTCATGCCATTTAGAATTCTTCTGGAATATTAAAATTTAAAATTTATCTTCTCATACCCAAGGTTTGAAAATGGCATTGAATATTTAACGGGGACGAAAGTCTTTTACATTTAAGCAATACCCTTTTGACTTTTTCATTTGTTTACTTAAAACATTTTTTAAATTGATCACTTTTAAGAGCTAATAAAGGTTATCACAAACGAATATTAAGGTTAAAATTTTAAATTGTTCCCTAAATTGTCCCCTAATCCTATTCAATACCCGTCAAATGCAGTACAGTACACCGTTTATATACTAATACCTTTCTAACCCAATAGGCAATATAGAGAGCAAAGTATTTTTATTAGTGATAATAATTCTATTTACAAATAGAGCAGCAATTATCGACTCATGGAACTATCTCCTATAAACTTTACGATAAAATAATTCGATATTCGATAATTCGACTTGGATTAAATACCGTATATGCAAATACATGTACAAGTATTACCATACATTAATTTCCTTTTTTTTTTGACGGCTGTCATCAACATTTAATTGTATCCCATACCTCACTATAACTGGGATCTGTTTCCCCCGCTTAAGGAAAGAAAAGAAGAGCATATTACGCGAAATCTAGATTGGGGGTCGAAGGCACTTTAAGAAATAGATGGGGTCATATTATGTAGGGAGTTATGGTATAAAATTTCATTACAAAAGCTCAAAGGCATCTTGACATTTCGTCTAAAATTAAAAGCTTTAAACAGACAGAAAATATTAATTTACGACCTTGACCTTTGATCTTTAGAGCTCAAAATAAGTAAAGGGATCTCCATTAGGCATAGTTAGGCCAGCGGGGTCAAAGATACCGGTATATTAATTTTACTAATTTCTTTCTTTTGAAAAGTTATGGAGACACGAAACGACGTCGTGGAAAGTCCTAGTATCTTCGATCTGAACTACGTACTGAGTAGTTGTTCAAACTTCTCTCCGGACTTAGAAGAAGAAGAGCGGGCGTCAAAACCGACCTTGAACTTGCTGGATGTTAATTATGAGGTCAAAGAAAGGGTGGGCCCGTGGTGGAAGGGGGCGTGTTTCCGGAGACAGAGGAAAAAGACCGTACTCCGTGACGTCACTATGCAGTTAAAGAGTGGGCTACTCACAGCAATACTCGGAAGTTCAGGTTCGATAACTGTGATTCGGTATATTTATCTCCCCTTTTTATGTATATTTAAAGAGAGAATGAAACTCTTGATTAGCACAACTGATATGTTCTGTTTAGACTCCATAGTATAGTTTCTTAGCATCTGGGAAATATTGACGCGATTTTCCTTGTTCTCCAAAATTATCAATGGTTACTCTATGTCTTGAGCAATGTAATGTTTTATTTCATATCCTTATCTTTTTAATCCAACATTCCTTATTTTGATTTTGTATGATTAAAATTTTACAAAAATAATAGTGAACATTATTCATATGTAAAATTATGTAGTCAAAATAAACCCTTGCTTTGTAACCCGATTTTTCTAACACAAGTTCTATATATATATAGAGAGAGAGAGATTTCTTAATCCACATGGAGAAATAAAATGGTTAAACTGACAGAGAAACTTTGTTTTTAGGATCTGGTAAAACTTCCCTCCTGGATGTTATAGCCTGTAGAACAGAGGGTCAAGTCACTGGCAAGGTTTACTACAACAATTATGAATGTTCTAAAGAAGTTATAAAACAGTACGGCGCTTATGTCATGCAGGCCGATCGTTTCCTCCACAATCTGACAGTGAGAGAGACGCTACGATACGCCGCCTTTCTACGGCTGCCCGGGCGGACCAAACAATTCGAAATTGAAAGCAAGGTTAAAACATCAAACTATTTTGATTCTGACTTTCAAATAAAATTAAATAAAACAAACATTTGTTAGCAATTCTCTAAGAAAATCTATTTGTGTGTATTAAACAGGTGAATAATGTTATAAATGAGATGGGATTGAAGAACGTAGCTGACAGCAGAATCGGAGGTTCCATAGTTCGAGGAATTTCTGGCGGTGAACGAAGAAGAGTTACAATTGCTCTACAGCTCTTACAAGATCCAAGTAAATCAATTGTTCTTGTAGTTTTAGCCTTGTAACAAAATAACTAAATTTAATGTTCTGTTCAATGATTTTAATAATGGTTTTTAAACTTCTATCATAGCTATGGTAGAACTAACAGACATATAATTATCAACATTTCCATCCCTTCAGAGATTTTACTGCTAGACGAACCTACCACTGGCCTAGACAGTTACACAGCGCACTATTTAGTCTCAAACCTCCGCGACATTGCTCGAAGAGGTAAACTGGTTCTGCTCACCATCCATCAGCCTCGATCTGACATCTTTAAGCTCTTTGATGAAGTCGGTATTCTCAGTATGGGTGACATGGTGTATTTTGGCGGGGCAGAACAGATGCTGGACCACTTCCAAAACATTGGATACCCATGTCCTACGTATGCAAATCCATTGGATTTTTACGGTATGTTAAATACACGGTAATCCCATTTCCTACCAAGAATAAACCTAGATTCCTCTGACTTTTACCTTGTCAAGTCTGCACAAGCTGGAATAAGAGTTAGGTGAATCTTGGATTATAAACCCAAAGTTACTTTTCCCTGGCAATTATTTCACCAATAATACTCTGTTAATAAAACAGTATACTCCATTCTGTAAGTACAATTTTTAGTTAACCTAGGACTTTCAGGAAGGAGTGGTATTCTCGACGTTACATAATTAGCGCCTGAAATTTACACAGCCTTTCATTCACTGTTGAAATATACATTCCGGCAAATGTCAACGAGTGTGTCAATGATTCAATCACAGCATTTCGTACGGCAGAGAGATGGGGCTGAAGTCGTCTCATCGTTGTCAACAACAATTTAAATAACCAATAAGAGCCATTTGAGAGACCTTAATTACGTAGTGTCGAGAAAGTCACGCCCTACTGAAAGTCGAAGGTTAACTGAGAATCGTATGAAATATTTGTTGCCACACGAGGAATGCTCTGACAATGTAGCCCATCCTGTTTTCAGTTGACTTGGCCAGTATAGACAGAAGAGACCATCAAAGAGAACACGAAACCGCTACAAGAGTGCGCCACCTGGTGGACACATTTTACAAATCAGAGACCCATAACGAGACTGTTAATGACGTCAACGAGGCAACAATGCGACCAACAAACAGAGCAACCATGCTGTATTTCTACAAACCACGACCGCCAAATGTGTTTCGAGTGATGTTTACCCTGTGGAAGTGAGTGCTTTCATAGAATTAAAGACGAAGCCATCCGAGAGCACACAAACAAACAAAAAAAAAATAAAACTTACAAAAATGTACCTCTCTTTAAATTTTTTTTATTGAAATGCAGAAATATAACTGGAAAGATAGAAAGAGCAATAAAATGATGGTTAAGCTTAATGTGTTGCGTTGTTATGCGTAAAATATCGAAATTAATCTAGTACTTTCTCTTTTGCAGACGGATGATGGTGAACTTAATGAGAGACCGCACGATCTATATTCCGCGCGTATTTATGTTGGCGCTCTTTGTTCCGTTTATCTGCGCCTTCCTGGGCCACATGAAAACCAATCAGGAAAGTATACAGGACCGGATCGGGTTGATGTATCAGTCCGCCAGTGTGCCCCCGTACGTCTCCATTCTTAATGCCGTGGCCATTTGTAAGTCAGTTCCTGCTCCATGCTCTTATCTCACCTGCTTCTTTTCCAACAACGTCGCAAGCCGAGGGTTTCCGATCCGAAATCTACTCTACAACGCCAAGGGTTTTAGAGTAGATTTCGGATCGGACACCCTTGGTTAGCGAAGATGCTTTTCCAAGGGCGTTTAAAGAATGTTCGGGGAATATTATTTCAAGAAAAAGGACTAATCTTTGTCCATGTTTTTAGAAGAAAATATTTTATTAAATATTTCCCAACATGTATTTTTACATTCTTAAACGCCCAATGCTTTTATTTCCGGGCATTCATTGTAGAATGGATGTCTTCCTTCAAAATACATGTAGAAGATTAAACGTGAAAGTTGATCAACTCTACGTCTAGCTGATAATTATTTATTGATCAATTCTGTAATTATGAAACTGTTTTAAGTAAGACAGTTCTTAAATGGTTGACGTTCTAAAGAGCAAAAAGTAGGGGTCGTTTTTTATGACGTGATTATTTAACCTAGATGTACTAACCAAACTTTATGTCACTGATTTTTCTGTTAACTTAATTAATTTAGATTTCATCAACAATAGAAAAAGAACAACCAAAATATTTACTATAGTTTGTTCACAAAACACGACGGTTTTAATATTTTTCTAGATGGCTATTATAATATTTAAAAAATCCCTTTCCTTCTCTCCGTATATATACACCTCTGCATGAGAATATGTTTGCATACAGGGGTTGTGTTTGCGATGGAAAAAAAAATTGCAAAATTAAAATTTTATTTGGCAATAAAGTGAGACCTAAGCGAGTGGTAGTGTTATACGAATATCGCAAATATAACCACTTTGCAAAAAATATTCGTGTTTACAATCATCTCTTACCATTCCTTCCTTAATGTGTACAAAGCTTTTTTGCAAACAATCTCTCACCAGAGGGCGCGCTCCGCAAGCTTCACCTTACGTGGAGCGGAGCGTAAAACCCCCTCTGGTGAGAGATTGGATAACACTCTCATTTTCCCATAAATTAGTAGTTGTATTAGTATATTTAGATTAGTGTAGTTATCCTTATCGTGATGTGTTTTATCCATAATTTAGAAATACTAGATATAAAAGTTTCTGATATATATCTGAGTCGATTTTCTGATTGAAATTTGTCCCTTAACTTCATTTTGTCTGTTACTAGGCTAAACATAATTTATTTTTCATGTCTGCTTTTGGGTACTTAAGTGGTTTTATATGCTCTATACTTCTCTTATGTGTAGCAATGTCTTTTCAATTTACGTAAATCTATATCGATATCGACGATATTGACAATATCATATCAATATCGTTTCGATGTCGATCCTTATCAGAACTATGAAATTGTAATTACTTGATATACTATATATAAGACTGACTGGTATGTCGATATCGACAATACCATGACATCATATCGATATCGCTCCTGGTCTGTATTTTTTTCAAGGTAATGTATACAATAATAATTATATTAGACCACAAACGAAATGTTTTGTTATTGTCAGGGTTCAAAGTAAAAGTATGGTTTTGGGTTAAGGTTAAGAAAACGTTTTCCTGGCACGTAAAATATCAAAATCGTATAAAAGCCTGGAAAACGTCAGATATTTCGGACTGGGTTAAGCTTGACATTGTTGGGTAAAAATACCGTACTTTTATAATATGTTTTACGGTGTGACCGTTGGGGCGAGCGCAGTTTATTTACTATGATACTATCATAAACCTACACATGTATTGTCTATAATTGAAGAAAAAGAAAGCAAAAAGAATAAAACAAAACAATAAAAAGAAATCATTTCCCAAGCATCGGGATTCGAGATTCCAAACTTCTTTTCCGACAAAATCGGAAATACCCGAACCGTTGAAGTGACGAAAGTATGACGTCAGATAAAACGTTCTGTTGACTTAGGACGCAAACGCTAGTTTTATGGAAAAGAGATTGCATTAAATCGTTCTTTTCAAGTAAGTTGTTGCTATGTTTTAGCCACCATGTTGCTATGCACCGCAACATGTTTTCCGAGTTTCACGGAAGCAACCGACATAACTTCGTCAAAATTCGTAAATTTCCGGTGACGTCATTTGTATCATTTCCGAAGGGCAAGGTGAAGGCCGGTGTTGTGGCATGGGGGTATTTTTTTGAATAAGGCAAGTCAAAATCATTTCGTTAAGATTTCGGTCAGAAACAATGTTCCTTTAATTTTTTTTACTGTTTTTGATTTATTCGCGCAAAGGACATTGGGTAGTGCAGAAATTCTGGGAATGTTGCACAGAGAGATTTCAATCCGAATTTCCTCTGTTCATACATGTTAGTCTATTGAGCTCGCTTCGCGAGCGTCGCTTCGCGACGCTCGCTGCGCTCGCTATTAAAATCTTTTTTGTGTGCCGCTATCTAAGATTATGTTCTACCTCAGATCAAAATAGAAGACCAGCATAAGCCTACGTGGGTTATTTCTGTAGAAACATCAAATAAGACCATTTTATTTAATATATTTTTATCTCTCTGTTTAAATTCAGTTATCATTTCTTAATTTTTTCCGGTTAGCCGTGATTCTTATTTATTTTGTATTATTCAAATGTTTTTAAGTAGATCATTAAAATCTATTGATGTTGTGTTCACTATTCCCATGAAATATATATAATGCATGCTTTTGCAGTGCTATATAAAGCACACATTCTTCATTATTTTGTGTGTATACATAATTTTGCTTTAACAATATACTCTTACGTAAACACCTCCACATCATATATAACGCCACATTCCCAAAAAGAAAAAAAGTTGGAGCAAAGAGAACGAAAAAAATTGATGTGTGGCCTAAGCATTCAGGGAGGGAGATTACGGGGGCAGAGGACGGTATACGACCTGGGGGAGTGGGAGGGGGTGGGGCATCAATCTCTTGTCTGAGAGTCTGTATGCTTATTAATTGTATCGTTTATATTAATTTTCAGTCCTAAGTTTAGTTTCAACTTCGGAGTGAAAATTAATAAACGGCAGTTCTATCTTTTTCTCCAAGTACTCTATGAATACGCAACGTACTCATACAGTGTACTTTCAAAGAGGTTCCTGATTTTTACATATGTACATACATATAATTAATTACATATTTGTAAAATATGTATTTAGAAAGTTTTTTCAATGACGATAAAGCATGAAATATCCAGTTTTCTCCTATTTCATTTAAGTTCTATTTTAATTTAGCATGAAACTCTTATTTACATTATATAACTCTTGCATGTTATGTTTATACAATTTTCTGGACTCCATTAGTAACATAATCTCAAAGTCTAACGTAGTTAACAAATTCCCAAAGTACTAACAATAAAAACACAAAATTTAAATTTAAAAAGAAAAACATTTAACGACACCCAGGAGTACTTTTGCCAATGTCACAATTGTGCGTTATACTCGGTGAAAGGGCTGTGGTCATTAGATGCCAGAACTCAGGACATGCATTATGTATGTGTGGCACAATAGATCCACACACCTATTTCTCGTTTTAGTTCCGCCCCTGAGGGACCTTTACTACAGGGAATGCCGGGACGGTTTGTACACAACTGCTACTTTTATTATGACGTATGCAATCCACATTCTACCCTTCCATATTATCGCCAGCTTCATCTTCAGTATTGTCGTCTACTGGTAAATATTTAATTATCGTGTTAACTGCCACAGCTTATTTATTGAATAGCCTGCTAGCGACCTAATTAAAAAACTTGTATTAAAATAGGACAGTCACTAGATATCTAATGAGGTTATGAACTGTGAGGGTGGTGGGGGGGGGGGGGGTACCATTCCCCACGTCAGAATTTGTTTTACGTAAATGAGTACCATTTGCTGGGTTTAACTTTTGGTGTATTGTGGAAGTGTTTTTTTTATTATTATCGAGAAATATGTTCTACACAGCATACATAACTCATGATAAACTGCAGAAAATTTGTTTCAATAATAGAATGATTATTTCTTATCGTATTACGGTTGTCTTTTTCAGGGTGACGGGGTTATATCCGACATGGGACAGGTTCGCCATCTATTACGCCGTGGTGTGCGTCCTCCACTTTATAGGCGAGATAATCACGGTGGGGACGATGGGGGTCCTTATCGACCCTAACATTGCCAACAGTACGTCAGCCCTGGTCCTTACCGCCTCCCTCCTCCTGGCCTCGGGACTTCTCAGGCAAGTAGTCGGACCATTTAACTGTTCATAAAGCCTCTGCTCAATCATCAAAAATGTTGCTTGGACCTTAATGATTTTCCAAAAGAAATATATTTTATAAGTAAAATACAAATACGGATATTAATAATTTAGCTTGCGGGGCAGAATTTGACAAAAAAGACACTTCAACTTGGCAAATCTATTAAGGAATAATAGACATTAATGTCATTAAGAGCTATCTCTCTTATCAGAGTATCGATGAACCTTAGCTGTTAATTGTCATCTCCCTCGGGAGATGACACATTAAGATTGTATGCCGGAAGTGAAGTCCTAGTGTAAGCCTCCATTAATCTTTCCTCGATGTTTTACAGAGTTCCAAGTAGCCTGTAAACTGGTTTTCTTTTAGAAGAACTAGCTTAGGAGTGTGTGATCTACTTTCGGTTTAGGCCACAGGCCTTTATATCGCTTTGAAAAAAAAAAATTGAGGTGTTGAAAAAAACACACGAAATTTTTTTAAGCGATCCAAAGGCCTGTGGTTTAGGCCTATTTGAAAGCCAAGGAAAATTTAGAAAAGAAGTACGATGCTTATAAATATCTATAGTTTCGGTGTGTCGTATAGACATTGATCCTGGCCTTATTAAATGGGACTTCACAAGGCAAGTAGAAATCACGACAATGACGTGATCTCTATATATAGGTTCATAAAAAACTGGTCTGCACAAAAGAACAAGCTTACAATTAGATTAATGAATGAATGAAGAGTGGTCAACGCTAATTTTATGTTAATTTTTTAGTCTGTAATTGGATTTATTAAATTAATTCCTGTCAAACTTTAATGATTAGCTGCTTTTAAATGAATGATATTGATAATTATTGTTGATAATTCCGTATTGTGTTTAGAAAATATAGTTCAAGGAAAGTAAATTGTAAACACCCAGAACCACAAAGACCGCTAGAATGAAATTTCACCAAAAATCGCCTTGGGTGCTCTCGCAGACGTCCATGCTTTCCGTATAATATACAATGTACTGCGGCCAAAAGAAACCTGCGTACTTTACTGTGGAGTTTGCTGAATAAGTCATTTGGGAACTTCAGGTGTAATAATCCATATATTCATTGCATTAAAATATCTCCCTTTCTGTTTTATTTCTTTGATATTATTGATACCAAAGAGATGAATATAAGGCTTTCTGGAAAGCCAATTTACTTAGTATCAGGCCTCGGGGTTATCTGCTTGTTTAATTTATTACACAAATAAGTTGACTGGATTTCTCATAATTATACACTCATGTAATTCAAGCATCTAATCTGGCCTTGAGCCCAGAGGAATTTCCAATGCAATTGGCCTCGAGAAAACTAGCCTTGGATCATTTCAGGCAACTCTAGAAGATACAAAATCATACATGTATAGTTTTGCCTTTGGTTAACTGCCATTTCTTTCAAGTTCTCTGATCTTGCTTCTGTGGCAAGTTTTATATAAAGAAATGTTGATGTGATTGTCTCGAGAATCACCTGGTATGTTCAAAATACTAGTATTTTCAGGGACGAGGTCAGATTTAGCATGTCCTTTTTTTTATTGCAGAAGTATAAAGAACATGCTGGAGATTTTTCAGTGGGCGAGTTGGCTCAGCGTACATAAATACAGCACAGAAATTCTAATGGCCAACGAGTTTAATGGGCTCAACTTCACCTGCCCACCGCCTGATCAAGGTGAGTTAGTACTGATACTATTACATGTATTACGATGTTGATAAATACAATTTTTTTAAATTTAACACTTTGAATATTGAAATTTTGGATTTAGAATTTTTTTTATGGAAAATAAGTGACTTGATTTTTTTTTTAAGGAATTTGAATATTTGGATTTTTAAATATTTTTTTAGATAAGTTACTTGATTTTTTTTTTTAATTATAATTTTTAAGGAATTCGAATCTTTGGTTTTCGATATAATTTGGGAAAATATAAGTGACTTGGTTTTATATCTATTATTTTTCAGGGGTTTGTCAATATGAGACAGGTAACCAGTATTTACAGGACTTCTATCCGGACGCTGTAGACAACATGCACACAAACTTCTGGGCCCTGGGAGGCTTTAGTGTCTCTTTCGTTGTGTTTACGATCATAGCCTTTAAAATCCGAGGTATACCGAACCTCAACTAGTGAACTAGATACCTCGAGACATTCGGACCTCATTTGAGGAGTACCTTTCCTCAATTTGGCCAAAAACAGTGAGAGTTTTAACAAAGAATACCACTTCCACGAGATTGTTTAAAATATTATTCAATATTGACATTGTTACAACGAGATTTTGTTTATTTACATTGTAAAATTTATTTATTTATATGTTGTTTAAATGTTTTTATTGTTACATTGTCTGTGATAAATAAATCAGAAATCTTCAAAGACAAAATATTTTAATTTCATAAACAAAAGGTTATAAAATTCACTCAAACAATACAGTAAAGCTTTATCATTCAGAACATTTTGCCCCGGCTAACTTGGACTTGAGGGTCTCGGAGGCTTCCACCATTTTGGCCTCCCTGTCCTTTGCCCTGAGGGCCGATGTATCCGGCTCGGCCTTCTTCTCCTGCATCCACGGGTGGTCCAGCACAGTGGCTATGGTGGCTCGCCGCTTGACGTTAACTTCTAGAATCCGGTGAATGAGGTCCTTGCATTCTGCTGTTAATTTCCTGGATTTGGAGAATCCCACCTTTCTCTCTAGTTGTTCTCGTACCATTTTCTTGATATTGCTATCATCAAAAGGCATTGAGGCACAGACCTAAAGCAATAATTTTTATGCCATTATAAATTTTCTTACATTCTAAAAGTTTTTGCAGAGGATCTGTGATATTCCCTGTTATTAACAGACACATATCTACATTACTTACCATGATATACAGTATGACCCCCATGCTCCAGAGATCGTGAAAAGGGGCGTGGTAGGGGATTCCCTGAAGAATTTCCGGGGCTGCGTAGGCAGCGCTCCCACAAAATGTCTTACATATATCGCCGGGCTCGACCTTCCGACAGAATCCGAAATCAGAAACTTTTATGTTGTTAAGGCCATCCAGTAATAGATTCTCACACTTCATATCTCTGAAATATACGGATATCTACTTAAATATGGATTTTAAATGCATGACTTGTCAATTTATTTAATTGATAATAAATTGAATTGGTAGATATATTTCGGTATGTTCGTTGTCTTTTTGATTCTATACTGAAAGTTTATTATATTAATCTCTGCAGAAACATTCTAATCAACTTTTAAAATGCACATGACCAAACGACACAAATTGTCGACTTTCTAAAATTTTATGAGGTATTTCATTAATAATCAATAAGTAATTTATTTCTTACTTCAATTTAATTTTGTAAATATTTTTTTCTTTAAATAGAAAGTATACCGACGAAGAAAAACATTCGCTTTTTCCTCTCTATTAGATTTGTCTACAGATGGTGTTATTTAGGAGGAAAGGTCTTTAGAGTAAAGTATGGAAATATGAAGGGTATTTTATCGAAACTTGTAATCGAAATACTGGGGTGAGGATGGGGTGTTTATTTAAAAGAAGATATTACTGCTCTTTAACATATTATCGCAACTCCGTATTTTTGCAAGGTTGTTATTTAATTGGTATTTAATTATATTCATGAATATTGGTTATCACTGTCTGAAAACTATATACGAGAATGAATTTTTGGCGAGTAAATGCGTTAAAATACGAAAATAAAGTTCTTGTATGAAAAAAATTACAATAGCAGCAAATTCTCCTTTCAAGTCTTACAAATAAAAAATCTATTTTAGATATGGATATTATAAGTTGGGTAAGATAGCCTTACGTAATCCGGTGGAGTAAGTCTTACCCGTGGACGATGCTATTTTGTTAAAAGTAAAATTACCTGTGGACGGTGTTATTTTGTTGAAGGTAAACTTACATGTGGACGATGTTATGTAGGTGTAAGTACGATGTTATTTTGTTGATGGAGTAAGTCTTACGTGTTGACGATGTTATTTTGTTATTGGAGTAAGATTAACCTGTGGACGATGTTATTTTGTTTTCGGAGTATATATAAGACTGACCTGTGGACGATGTTATTTTGGTAGTGTAAGACTTACCTATGGACGATATTTTTTTGTTGATGTAGTAAGTCTTACCTGTGGACAATATTATTTTGTTATTGGAGTAAGACTTACCTATGGACGATGTTATTTTGTTATCGGAGTATATATAAGACTGACCTGTGGACGATGTTATTTTGTTGTCGGAGTATATATAAGACTGACCTGTGGACGATGTTATTTTGTTGTCGGAGTATATATAAGACTTACCTGTGGACGATGTTATTTTGATGGAGATAATCCACCGCTGAGCAGACCTGTCGGAACATGAGCTTTGCTTTATCCTCCTCTATCGCCCCGCGAAGTTTGATGAATTCCAATAAATCGCCGTGACCAGCGTACTCCATTACAATATATACCTATGTTGGTTTTATATTAAAATATGAGTTAACAAAAAGAAATAATCGGTAAAAAATTGTCAATAAAATTGTATTTTCATTTAATAAAGGAAAAAGCTTTGTTTACCGCATTTACCTGCAAATATAATTATTTAATAAAAATTTAAATGAGTAAAATATATAAATAAATCCAGCATTATATTTACTTTGTTATGAAATTCTAGTAACTCAAAACATCGAACAATATTCGGATGTTCTAAAGTGACGTGAATGGCAAGTTCCCGCGGTAAAAATTTCTCTCGGAAATCTCTAGGGGCTTTCTTTCGGTTGATGATTTTTACTGCTACCCTTTTCTGGTTTTTCTCCGAGTGAGCACTTTTTACTTTGGCGTAAGAACCCTCCCCAAGGAGGGTCCCCAGACTGTACCCCCTTTTCTTTAGCTCCGCCTCCTCATCAGTTGAAGACATGAACTCGAGTCTTGAGGCCATTCCTAAAATACATCATAGTCCACCGAGCAACAATGGCGCCAGATGATGGAGTGTTTAGACCATTGTGACGTCATTGCATTATGACGTTCCTTTCCCTAACTCCGTATCAACATTGTCTCGTTTTCGCCACCGTTACCAAAAACAGCAGTGTGATACATTAAACAGTGTCGGAGCCTGTAACAAAGATTGGATGCCTCCGAGTCATAAAAAACAGAAGTTTGCAATGACTGAGAACCCTCCCGATTCTCAGAATTTGCAACACGAGCTGGAAATAATGCAGGGCGAAATGGAAGCGGTAGAGGTCCGTCGTTCATCTGACAAATGCGAAGCCGGAATTAAATACCGTCCCACCTACCGGGCCGTCCTTGCTAAGAGAGGCCTTCTAGTCAAACAGACCCTCGGAAGTGGCAGCTACTCAAAAGTCAAGTTTGCTTACTATCTCACAGGGGACAGGGACAGGGCGGCTGTCAAGATTGTGGACAGAAACAAGGCCCCCAAAGACTTCCAGCAGCGGTTCCTCCCCAGGGAAATCAAAATCTGGCCACAGCTAAACCACCCAAACATTGTCAAACTTTTGGATATATTTGAGGATTCTAGGCGTGTATATATGGTGCTTGAATTTGGAGAAAATGGCGATGTCCTTCGATATATTCAACGTACTGGGGCGATCAAAGAGGGGATGGCGAGAAACTGGACTAAGCAAATCTGTGAGGCCGTGCGGTACCTCCACGAGATACATATCACCCATCGGGACCTCAAGCTTGAAAATCTGCTGTTGGACAGTAACTACAACATAAAAATCTGCGATTTTGGATTTGTCAAAGAGGATCCCACCCGGAACCTGAGCAAAACATACTGTGGTTCCAAATCTTATGCAGCTCCGGAGATTTTAAAAGGGGAACCCTACGATACTCAGAAAGCGGACATTTGGGCTATAGGCGTCATTTTATACATCTTTGTCACCGGGAAAATGCCATTTGATGAGAGTAAAGGCAATCATGGGGTGTTAGAGGAACACAAAAGGCTCAACTTTCCTTGGCATAAAATTAAAAAGAACGTATCGGAGGAATGCAAAGCTCTGATCTTATGGTGCTTCAAGTACGACTTCTCACAGCGGCCAGATATATATGATGTCCTCGGTTGCATTTGGTTCAAAATGGGGGTGAATCCCGAGACCGCAGGAATGGAGGGACCTAGCTCAATCACGGAAAAACCGGAAACGTCCACTAACCCCTCGGAATGCCCAGAGCAGATGACGTAATTTGATAAACCCTTTATTCAGAGATGTGCTGCGCATGCCCACTTTTATTCATGTATAATTCACTTGAACTGTGATAAGTATTTTTAAAAAAACTTTTCTACCTTAAATTTATACATTTTTATGCAGTTTTAATTGATATGAATTCTTCTTGTTGTAGGTATGTATATATTGTAAATATTATTTTATTATGTACTAACTTTGTATTTAAGTGTACTAACATTTATTTTTTGTAAAAATGTACTTTTGTTACGCATATTAAATTGTTGGTAATAATTTCTTTTTAACTTTTTTGCGAAATGATAATAGTACCACATTTAGCACAATGACATGTGCTTGAAAGCCTGAGCTGGGCCAAACCCTTTTCCGAACGGCACTTTCTATAATTATTTTGCGCCATGATTAAAGAAAAAAAATTGAATTCTTCAATATTGAAAAATTTTTCCTACGCAATAAAAAAAAGATTGAACAGGTTGTTAGTTAAGTATAGGTTGAGTTACCTCCTTGAGTTTCTGACATTAACTATTATTATACTGTACAAACGAGATATTATTCGCTTTCGCTTGCGTGAAAATATTTGCGAGTTCAGCGACTTACTTTAACTCGCGAATATTAGTCGCTGAAAACCAATCTTTTTTTTTTTTTTTTTTTTTTTTTTTTTTGATTAGTGTTTGTAGAGAAATATTTCCTCAATCGAGAAAATTAAACGCCGCGGATTAATTTCAAACTGGCGAATTGCGAGTGAAAGATGTCGCGAATAATAGGTGGTCTGCAATATATATACATGAACCAAAATTACACCTACATATTTATACATTCATCACGTTTGAATTTTAAACTTCTTGAAAAATTGATAGCGATCATTTTCTATTGCCGATCATCAAAACATCTAAAGATTGAAATATGCTGATCAGATTTAAACGTGGGCTGTCTCTCTTTGTTCCCAACCCACCTCCTCCCTACCAAAAATAATAGCAGCGAAGTTTTTTTTTTTTTTTTTTTTTTTTTTAAAAATAAAAATTAAATTAATGTTATCATCACAAGGTAACAATGAATAGATATCATTGTATTCCGCACAAGATATGACTTGAAAGGAGACAAATAATGGCATCTTTCTTCTATTAATAATTTTCATTTTGCAAATGATTATGAGCTTGTGACCAAAAAAAGTCAAATACTCATGGAATAATGTCATAATTACTGAAAATTGCTGCCTCTGCTTATGCCTATATAGATATGACCAATCACGGCTTTTATGTTCTTGAAAAAAAAGACACTTTTGCAGATTTTTGCTATGTATACATTTTAAAACTTTAAAACCATTATGGACCCACCCTACCCCGGGGTGATGGTTCGAGCAAACTTGAATCTATGCTACCTGATGAGGTTTACATTATAAATATGACCAATCACACATTTGCTGTTCTTGGGAAGAAGATTTTAAAATGTTTTCCTAGTATTCCTGTGTAAAGCTTTGATCAATCTTGTGATCCCACCCTACCCCGAGTGGGAGTGGGGTGAGAATGGGGCATGGTTAGACCAAACTTGAATCTATACTTTCTGAGGATGCCTTCATATAAAAATGATCAGTTATACCGTACAAGTGGAAATTTTAGCGAGACGCAGATTTAGCGATTTGTCCTTAAAAACTGGTAATTTATTTTTAGCGAGATGTTTTAGCGATTTCAAAATGCACATCAAAGTAGCTATTAGAAATAAAATGCAATTAATTTTTACACCATGTATATCCCAACATGCGGGGTGTATACTATGTTGTGCGCGGGGTGTATGCTTCCGAAGTGAGAGAAAGGGGGTCAATGTAGGTTCTTTGTCCATTTTCTCAACTTACGGATATTTTTCGCCAGAAAGCATAAGCCTACGGAAGAAAGCATTATCTAAGGAGTATATGGATACCTATGAATCCACTGGACACCTTCTAGTTTTCTCAAACACCTCAACACAATTCCGAGGATCGGAGCAAGATTGACGCTACACTGTGTTTATGATCAAATATCAGGAGAAAGCTTTGCTTTATCATCACTTTTATATTATTGTTAAATACATGTTTACTATATAAATGTTTGTACAAATTGTCTCTTAATAAGACAGTTCGTATATAAAGATATTGACGAAAAATCAATGTTGTGTCCGGGGTGTATGCAACATGTTGTACGCGGGGTGTATACCCCTCTCTTTACTTTATAGTATCATTATCTGAAATATCATTTTAAAAAATTCTTAACAATTGACTTTTGTGAAAGTTATTTATTTATTTTTCAAATTATTCACCAGTATTGTAATAGCACAACTTCAGGTTCATGAATTCGATTTACTGAAAAAAAAAATGATACACGTTCATCGTACTTTTTGCTTTGCATGCCTATGGAAGTAAATGTACAGGGTGCTTTGGTTAACTGTTTAATGTGATAACCAACAATTCATCCCTTCGATTTAAGGTCATACGCAATGTAGGTTGAACTTTATAGTCTAGTCAAATTATCAAATTTTCCATCAAAATGTGAACTAATTGCAACAGTTTCAAAACTTAGTTTTAATCAATCTATGATATGATCTGAATATATAACAAAAAGTTTAGAAAAATTTATACATGGGAAAATTGAAAAATTGAGGTCATTATTGGGACGTATTGTTTTCACTCTGATTAAAAACTAACAATGTAAAGTAGAAACTTCTATACTGGTTTAAAAAAAACATGTAAGTAGGGAAATAAACTTAACTGAATAAACTGAATTGGAAAAAATATTAAATATTGGTTACTGTATGTGTTGGTTGCCATGGAAACAGTATAAATTGAGAATATCACCTACTTTTGAACAATGAACCTACGTTAGTTTACACACATACTCAAAATGCATTCTTTTGCCATAAATGCTTCAAAGAAATTATTTAGAAGATTTATGTAAAAATGTGGTAACCATGGATACAATATAAATGAATTTTACATGAAAAATTTCGGTATTCAGCAATGCTAAATATAGCACAAATATACTCAATCACCAAAAGTTAAGAAACAATAGAAATGTTTTAATTCATATGAGAGGTAATATCCGAAAAAAATTATGAGCAGGTTTAGAGGGGTCAGGGGACATCCCCAATAAGAATTTTTTTTATGAAAAAGTAGCAGAGAATGCCCCCCCCCCCCAAAAAAAAAAACCAAAAACCGAAATCCCTCCTGTAACTTAAAGGTTTTCCCCGTATATGAAGAAAATTGTGGGAAGATCTTATAGAACCCCATTCCTCCCGAAAAATAGATTTATATGTTTTTATTCTTGATAAGGTAGCTTGTAAATTTTTTTTGTCAAAAAATATTCTGAAATCTGATTTTTTTTACGCACAGCAAAGCTGTCCCCCATAGATTACATTGTAGTTGTGTTGTCCACCCTTCAGAAAGTTTTCTTTCAACATGTGACACCAGTTTTGAGTCCCTGCAATATGATTGGTTGGTAACTTGAATAAAATTCTCAGATATATATAAAAAAAAAACTCTGTTTACATCAGTATCATAAAGTGCTTGTACACTATAATGAGTATGATGGTTCTTGCTTGATCAGAACTTCAACCCACCCCAACCCGGGTAACCTACAGGGTATTTCTTGTCATAAGTTTAATAAAAATGCTATCTTACTCATATCAAGTGGATCAAAGTATTTTTTTATCCTCCATAAAATGAAACCACGCCCTCTGGTGTGATAAGAACATAGCAACATTTTATGTTGCTTCATGGATGGTGATATTCCAAAAAATATTTCAAGATTTTTTTCAGTGTAACCCTCAACTACATTCAATAATATGAAGATAAGACACGTTTTAGGATAAAATCTGAAATTGTTATCCTTTGAAAATGATCATTGTTGACCAAGATGTAGCCGAATCAACAGTAATTAAATTGCATTGAGTACAAAATATCGTGAAATGTGCGCGCAAAGGTTCTGCGCAGTTAATGATTATTATATTGTTACCCTTCTTAAATCTTAATTTATTTCAAACCGTTGCTATGTAATTTTACTTGAAGAGGGTGGGGACAATTGAAAGCACACAGTAGATTATTGATAAAAAAAATCTAAGGTCAAATTAAAACACTTACACAAATGAAATGAAGTAAAAGAGAGCAAGCCAAGTACATGTATTTGTTTCAAGGAAGAATTTAAATGTTAAACTCTTGGTAGTTACCGGTAGTCAATTTTTACTTGTTCAAATTCATATGTAAAAGTATTGTTAATGTTTGTTATATTTTCCCCCAAATATTTTTATCCTAATATAAGACTTTGGGTTTAATCTAGGAATTCACCCGCATGGTGCAGTGGTTAGAGCATCTGCTCTAGAGTTGCGAAGTAAGGAGTCGATTCTTACGTCGCGGGTTCGAATCCTACTGTGGGATCATAGGCACTCCCCATCTTAATTGTTTAAAAAAATATATCTACTATACTACAAACAAAACAAGGCATGAAACTACCCTCCATGTTGGATTCCGCTTAGGGGCACTTTCTGGCTAATAGCGAGAATTTCTCGCAAAAGTCAGGTCTTTCTCAGACATCGGGAGCTCTCATTTATTGAAATAAAATCAAATCAGACTGAACCTTGCAGTATGTTCGCCGCATTCACGCGTTTTCTAACATTTCATGATTTCTCTGCAAACCACCTTTCCTCGGCCGGAAGTTGAGAGTTTCGCCGGTTTTAGACAGTTCGATCGTCGTTGACTTTCATAGACGTTTCGTGGGAAAGGACAAGATAGGGTAAGAGCCGAATCTGGCCCCCTATTTGATATAAAAATCAAAACACAGGTAATATTGTTATAGTTTGTAGTTAAAAAGTTAAAATGATGCTTACTTTAAGGCAGACACTAATTTCGATTCAAAGCTTACATGGAAGCCACTAGAGGGTGCAAAAATAGGACGTTTTTCCGAATTTCCTCAATTTTGGTGTAATTTCATCATATTTGGGATACATTTCTCTTCGGAAAACATAGAGCACACGCTTGCCTATCTGAGATTTTTACACATATACTGCATCTGATATCAGAGTATATAATATATAAATTTGGTAGATAGGCAAGCGTGTGCTCTATGTTTTACGAAAGAAAATATGTTTTAAAATTAATGAAAATTTGCATAAAAATGAGAAATCCCAAAATTTGACCTATTTCCAGTGCTCATTGTGACCCCTGTATATTTTAAATCTTAAAACCAACACTCATTTTGTGGCAAGGGTGACACCAGGTTTTTATGGATAAACTGTTTGATCAATCTGAAAGACAC